AACAAAATATATAAGTTTAAAAAAATTAAAATTAAAAAAAATATATTAAAAAATATATTAAAAATAAAAAATTAAAATTTAAAATTTTATAATAATTTATTATATAAAAATATTAATATTTTGACTAATTATAACTGATTAGTTAACCAATTAGCTTGAGACTAAATAATCATATTTTAAATAATAAAAACACATTATATTAAATTAATAAATCAATATTTTATTTAATTATATATAAATTAAAATTTTAAATTTTAAAAAAAATTAAAGTTTATGATAATATGAGGCCTTTGCAATAGAAAGGGAGGAAACTCAAAAAAAAATAAAAAATGAGTTAATAATAAATCTGAACAAATTATAGTATTTAAAACATTTTTGGCTTATAAACTAAAATTTTAATTTTTTTGGAGTTTCCTCCCTTTCTATTGCAAAGACCCCATATTATTCTATTAAATAAAAATGATAAAATAATTTTAAAAAATACCACACTAAAATTGTTAAAGCAAAAATTAAAATTATAATATTTTGATTAAATTAAACTTCTATTTAATCAAAACTACTTAATTATATTATTATAATCAGACAGTCAACTAGTTAATAAAATTAATTAGTTAACTAATTAATTAATCAAGAACTTTTAATTGAATATTGACTGATTATTAACTAATATAATCAACTATTACTATTCCAATTATATATATTTATCTTTAAAAAAAATCTTTAGTTAATTATCTTTTTTAATTTTTATTTAGAAAATATTATAAAATATTTTTAATTAATAAATATAATTATTTGTAAATTTATAAGTAAAACTATTAAAAAAATAATATTATATTTATTAACTTTTTATATTCATTATAATAATAAAAATCTTTATATATTATATATATAAATAATAAATAAAAATACCGTATAGTCCTGAAATAAGTATCTCTAAAAATAAACACTCCTATTTTTTAATATTACCTGAAAATAAGCACTCTTCAAAAAAAAATATAAAAATCAAAAAAAATATTTATTATCCTATTATTATAATATAAAATTTATTGACAATAAAGCTAAAATAAATTAGAAATTACTATTAACTATTATAAAATTATTATAAAAACTTATTTAATTAGTTATTATCATTATTATTATCATTACTAATATTATTATTATCATGAATATTATCATCATAATCATCATCAATATCAGAAATTTCTAATTCTTCATTTTCGTCATCTAAATTATCTAAAGAATCTGTTATAGAATAACTTACAAAAGAATTAATGATGATTTCTTCAGATATACCTTTCAAAGAACATTTTACCCAATTACAAATATCACTATATTTAATACATTTAAGATTTCCTACAGAAGTCTCTCTAGCATCACCAGCCACTATTCATAAATACCATTCTTTATGAAGATTATCCTTGAATAGTTTATTAATAATAATATTGAGTAATTAATATATACTTGTTAAGTCACTTAGAATAACTGCTAAATCAATATTGTTATTATAAAATTTTTCTTTAACAGATTCTTCTAAGTGATCTTGAAAAGAATCATAAACAAGTATTATTAATGCTATAGGTCGATTATTATTAAAATAATCAATATATTTTATCATCAGTTCTGTATTTATCTACCCATTATCTTAGAATTAAACCTTCACACTAAATTGAATTTGCTCACTATAACTTATTCTTTTTCCTTTAAATATGCATATTGATAGTAGTTTACTTTTATCTATATAAAAAAGAATATTAAAAAGTTTTTAAAAAAAAAGAAAGATTTATCTAAAAAACTTATTAGATACAATAATTCTTACTAGTAACACAAGTGAGAACAATAGTGAAATGATTTTTTTTATTGCCAATCTCATATATATAGATCATTTTTTCACCTAATTGATTAACAGTGAAATTACCAGCCATGTCAAACTATATTGATGTCTCATTCATGTTGAAAATGTTGTATATTTCATAGGATTTTTAATCCTAAGACAAATAATAAATTAATGAAAATTCTCTAACAATTCTTCAGTTTAATTTAGGAGTTTCTATCTGATTTTTGTGCACTGTCTTAAAGAAAGTTTTTGCCTTTTCATAAATGCATATAACCAGTAATTTGATAGCTTAAAACTATTTGTTAAATCACCATAAAAAGCTACAATATCTGACTCTTTTATAATTTCTAACATTTTGACTTGTATGATAGTATAGTTTATAGCTAAATCCATTTTCCTTTGATCAATTATCCAATTGTAAAGCTTTTTTTCAGCTTTAAATTAAAAAATCTCTTACTCAGAACTAACACTCTTGCTATTTCTACTTACTTTATTCATCTAGTTTTTACTTACTCTAACTCAATGTTTAACCATATTTTTATTAATATTGAAATATACTACCGCATTATTTCTTTCATATTCTTTTACATAATTTACAATCTGTTCTTTCTGTTCAATGTAGTATGAAGTTCAAGTACATTTAGGAACTTTTAAGATCTTGCTTTTATGCCTTTTAATAATCTACTTACGTTTTATTATTTTTGTGATATTATTTATATTTATATATAATAACTAAATAAGTATAGAAATTTTTATAAAAAATGATTAAATATTATATAAATCACGTACTGTAATTATGAATTACATAATTTTTATTTATATAATAACCACAATTACGTTGATCACTACAAAAGATATTTTTGATTTTTTGTTATTTACTTTAGACTTATAACAAAAGCCAAATTTTTTTAATTTTTAAATTACTTGAAAATAAGCACCTCTATATCAAATAAAAGATGCTTATTTTCAGGACTATACAGTATATAGTTTAAAGAAAATATTTTATTAATAAAGAAAAAATGCTAATATTAATTAAAACTATATGATATAAATTAATAAAATAATTATTTAAACTTAATCAATTATTTTAATAAAAAAGAAATTAATTAAAAAATTAAAAATTTTATAATACTTTTATATAAAATATGATTATGTTAATTATAAAATTATTTTTAAATTATTATATTTATATTATAATTAAACTTATGTATAATTATCTTTTCTAATTTTAAAAATTTTTTTATTATAAATAGAGGTAATTTATATAATAAAACTATATATAATCATTTATTATATAAATATTATATTATGATAATTATAAATAATAAAACCTATATATAATTATTTTTAATATAAATATTATAAAAAATGAAAGAAATAGCATATTATTTAAATATATTTTAACTTAAAAATCATATTTGATATATAAAAGTAAAATTAATTTTTATAATTACTTATAATATAAATATTATATCACTATAATTATAAATAAATTAAAATTTATATAATAATAATTTACATCATTTTAATTATTCTTATTAAATGATTTTTTATCATTTAAAATGATTATTATCATTCTAGATAAATAATTTATTATTATTTAAAAATAATAATCATAATCTATATAAATAATTTTAATATTATTAAAATTGTAATATCAAAATCTGATTTTACATATAGTCTAATACAGAAATCTTTATATAATTAATAATAAAATTATAATTAAATTAAATTAAACTTTAATTATTTAAAATTAAATAATATTATAAATTATTTATAAAATAATATAATTTATATAAAATGTAATTATAAATAGTTTATTTATTAATTATTTAATATATATTATCAATGTTAAAAAATAGTACTAGAGAATAATCTGCAAAAAGTTAATCTAATTTTATATAAATCGATTACTAAAAAATAATATTACATCAAAATGATTAATATAATGAAAATCAGTTTAATACTTTAATTTTAATTATTTATTTGTTTTTTTATTTTTCTGTAAATTTTTTAATTTATTTAATCATTTTTATTTATTTTTATTATTTATATTATATAGCAAATATCTTTATTAATTAATTTATAATAGCAAATAATTAAATATAATAAAATAGTTTTATATAAGGGATTTATATACAATTTTACACTTTAGTGTAAAATTGTATATAAATCCCTTATATAAAATGTATTAAAGTTGTAAATTAAGTTTAAAGTAAAATATTTTGTAAATTTTAAGTTTTAAGTAATAAATAAAAGAATTAATTTAAAATTTACATTATCTTTCATTTAGAATTAATTATAATACCTTCTACTAATATGCTTTTGAGTTTGTTATTGAGTTTGACTAAATAAATTTTTAAATTCTAAAAGATATAAATTATAAAATTAATTTAAATATAACTGATATTTGTAAAATTTAAAAAATATTCTAAGATTATAAACTCACAAGTAAAATTAATTATTATAATATTTTTAATTTAAGTATTAAAATTACTAAAACTAAATCTGATAATAATATAAAATTTTATTATGATTAACATATAGTTATAATTATAAAAAGATATATTATTATGATTTTGAAACATTAAAATTAAGTGAATATAGATAAAATATAATTATAAATAGAATAATTATAGATAGACTTGACTGTATTATTATTAATTAAAATTGATATATTATATTATATGAATATTTTATAATAAAAGAAAAAACTACCAAAAAAAAATTTTTTATTTTATAAGTTAAATATAACTTTTAATAAAATAAATTCAAATTTAACATTAATTCAAAAAAAAAATTTTTGAATTTCTTTTTTTATTGAAAATGCTCATATGTTAATATGAAATTTTTATTTAATTATAAAGTATTAAAATCTTATTTTTTTAACTTATATTTTATTCTAAATATAGATTAATTGCTAGAAAAATTAGATTCTAGAAATTTTTTAACAAAATTGAGATTTTTATTGCATTTTAAGTTTTTGATATTATTAGATTAAAATGTATTAAACTCTTAATTTAAATCAAAAATTTTTCAGAACCTGATTGTTCTAGAAACTCTTCCATATATTTATTTTTAAATAAATTAATTTTTAATACAATTAAATTGTAATATTTAGATTAAAAATTTATTTAAAAAAAAATTATAAAATTTTTATATATAATTATATAATATTAATCTAAAATAAATAAAATATATTTTTTATAAATATATATTATTAAATAATAATTACATAAATATTATATAAAATTATTAAATATTATAAAATCAAATTTAATTATTTATATATTTAAAAGTATAGCAAATTAATATATATTTATAATTTAAAATAAATATAATAAACTTTTACTTATTATATATATAATTAATATTATATTATATAAATATCTAATAATTTTTTAATAATAATTTTTTAGATTTTTATTATTTATATATATATTTTATTAATTTTTATATTTTGTTATAATTTAAAATTTAAAATTTATTTTTTTTATAATTTTAATATATTATAATCTTTTAAATTTAAATAATATTTCAAAATATATAAATTTAAAATATTATAATAAAAATAATTAGCAATAAACAAATTTAAACATTTATATAAATATATTTTTATAGAAATTATTTAAAAATAAATTATTTAAAATTTTTAGTTTTGTTATTAAATAAGTCAAGTTTTTAATAATAATTTGGGTTTTACTTTTATTATTTAAATATTTTACTAAAGTTTTAGAATTTATTTAATATTTAAATAATAATTTTTTAATTTTTAAACTAATATTAAATATAATAAAATAATTAAAAAGAATAACTAAAAAAATTAATAACAAAAATTTTAAAATAAATAATATAATAAAATAAAATAACATATAATTAAAATTTTAAATCAATTTATAATTATTAAATTTTAAAGTTAAATGAAATTAATTAAGATTATAAAAATAAATTAGTAATTAATAAATTTTGTATTCATTTTTTTATTTTATATCTTATTTTTTTTATTAAATACTATTATTATAATAGTATATTAGTATAATTAACTTATAATAACATAAGTTAACCATATTATCATAATATTAATATGAAACCTTTGCAATAAAAAAAAGGGAAAACTGCCCAAAATATGTTAAGATTTAGCATTAACTCATTTTTTTCCCGGCAATTTCCCTTTTCTTTATAAATAATCCATATTATTTACTAATAATATAATTATAAAATACAATAAACTTAAAATTCTTTTGGATTTTTAATGTTTTATAAATTTTTTTTTTTTTGTTTTTTTACATCAATGATTTACACAATATATTAACCCAATCAGCAAAATAAACTTTGAATTCTCTAGAAACCGAGACAACATTACATCAATTCAAAAGAAAGAAAATTGTCAGGGCTAATGTTACGTGAAAAGCCATTTTGAAAATCAAGCGCCTAATAATAAAAGCGCCCTTAATTAACGATATATATTTTTTTATGATAAAGTAAGTGGCTATGCGTTAAGCAGCGCCAATGGGAATTGGATTGAGCTGTAAGGCCGAGCTTTACTCATGATAATATTTACAATCGCATGTAACAAATGAGGCTTGGTGAATTTATGAGCAAAGTGATATTTGAACTTGTTGTAAAATTACGATTTACTTTTATTTTATTTTTATGTTTTTAAAAAAAAAAAGGTCCAACAAATACTATCTATTGATTTACATATAAATAATTACAAGCTGAAATGCATATAATTCATTATTTAGATGATTTTAAATTTTAACGATTTCAGGACAATCATTTCCCTCTGAATTCGTGACTGCTCTATCATCTTTTTCTACATCAGGGCAGTCTGAAACCCGTTTTTGAATAGGCATTGGAGCTGCCATTACAGCAACGATGAAAGCGAGTATTATAAATAATTTGATAAATCGTTTCATTTTCACTTCGTTTTCTATAAATAAACGGATTTTAAAAAAAAAAAAATTTTTTTTTTAATTTTTTTTTTTTTTTTTTTTTAATAAGCCAAATAATAAAATCACTTACAGAATATTTTTATAAGATTATTAGATTTAATGTCTTATTTTTATGAGATTCTGAAGACAAGCAAACACTTAATTGAGTTCATTTTATATATGAATTTTGATCACAAATTTCTTACGTTGAAAAAGGAAATGCAGGATTTATCAAGATATCAATGAGTGTTGGGATAGCCTCGAAATACACTGCCTTCCCATAGTTGGTATTACTTTGATAAAATTAAATCTTTTCATCTTGTACAGTATGTATAGCCCGAATAGAAGCAAAGCCAATGGCGAAGGTAACCGTTGTTTACAATGAGGATGGTTCCCCTCATCCATGCAATTAAATGTTAATGGTGGGCTCGGCTATGCATCTTTTGGGAGCGTTTCTTGTTCTTTTCGTATTTTCCGATTTTATTATATCACATATCCTGAATGGAGAAATTATGACGTTGACAATTAATGAGTCGAGTATTTAGTGTACAAACGTACCCGTAAAGGCATCATAAAGCTGAATATATGCCTCTTTACGGGTAGGCATCAATGGAAACTGTTTGAGAATTGCGAATTTACTCTTGTTTCATGACCCATACAAATATCTAATCGGTTTTTCAGCGAAAATAGGTAAGCTTGCAATCTGAAATGGTTAATTTCAAATTGAAAATTCAAAGTAATATGAAGTTATAATGGTATGAAAAATGTCTATACATGAATAGCAATAGTGTCTTTGAAAAAATAAATATTGATGAGTCAACTTGTTGCCACCGTACTTCGTCTCTAGCAATTAATTTCATCTGTAACGGACCAAAACTTTCGGTCGCAACTTTTTTGAAGTTTGATTTTCATATGTTGATCATTATCCCAATCTGTGCAAAATAATCAAATCAAAATTCAGCTTAGTTCATTTTTAGTTTCCCGGTAATTTCCTCCCTTTCTTTTGCAAAGGACCCATAATGTAAAACTGATAGTATTTACTCCAACGCGTCTCGGCAAATCTTGCTGAACCCATAAATGCAATTTATTGTTGTCTGACTTTTCGCTTCATTTTTTTGATTTTGAAAGAAAAAAATGTGATCAGTCAAACGCATTGAAGAGAACCATGTATTTGCATTCTAATGTATCGGAACCAATACTTTTGAGCTCTTCGGTTTCGAGAATCAGAGGTGGTGGTGTTGGTTCATTATAGAAAGAAACTTTATAAATATTGTAAAAAAAATTCATTTGTAATTACTGCGTCATATGCATTTTGTACATTGTTTTTAAACATTATTTAAATATTATGCTTTGCACCGAAAATTTTATTTCAAGGAAATAGTAAATACATATAAAGAAAGGAAAAATAAAAAATGATGATAATCAAAATATATTAACAATTACAGGCTGACTTTTTATTATTATAGTACATTGTTGTGGAACCAAAAAAAAAAAAAAGAAAAATGATTCTCTAAATTCTAAAATATATTAAAAAAAATTTTTTTTTTTTTTAAAAACGTAATTTTTTAATTGTTGGCGGGTTCGGGACAATAATTTGTATCGCTATTTTCTACTGGTACGTTATCTTTAAAGGCCACATCATCAGATAATTTTGATTTTGTTTTGCAATCCTTCTCATCTCCGAGACGCTTGCGTAAGTTCGTCATTGGAGCTGCAAATACGGCAGTGATGAAAACGAGAACGAGAAATAATCTGAGGAATTGTTTCATTTTTGTTTTTTGATTTATATCCGTTTAGCTTTTAACTACGAAAAAAAAAATAAAAATAAAAATAAAATAAAATAAAATTAATTTAATTAATTTCTTTCATGCAAAAATAATACAAACAATAGAACACTTACAAGTTATTCTTTTATATAAGATTATTTTTGAAACAATTATTTTTTTTTTTTTGTTTTATATTTTGAAATTGTTTGATGAGAAAAAAAAGTCCATTTATATATGAAAATTTTCGTGAAATATTTTTTATTGTTTGAAACAAAAAATTATAAATAAAGTGGTGTAACGGATTAAGGAACATCGGAATACGCGTTATTTACGAAATATTTCTTGATAAAGTTACTCCAATTACAATCAAAAGGAAAACCTGTTTTTGATTCCCTAAAATAATCTTACAATCATAAAAAAAAAAGGCCTGAGAAAAAAATTTTTTTTCTTAGAACGACGCCAAAATAATTTGGGTAAGGATTTTTCGTATGAATGACTTCATTTGCTCAAGTCATGCCGCAGCAGGATATTTTTAGCGGTTTCGATGATGAGTGTAACTCGGAACTTCATTCAAATTGACCACCAACATGCATTGTGTAACGTTTTAACTGATTTATTTTTACTTTATTTTTTTTTCTTTCTTTCTGTTGTCTTTTTATGGGTAATTAATCTATCGGCGGATTTTTTGATTAAGGAATTTTTCAACATTTTTACCCTTCCCTTCGCAAATAAAGGTTCGAATTTGCGTAATTTCGCATATTACATTTTTAAAAATAACCCACTTTTTTTTTATTATTAGAATTTTTAAATTATTTTTTTCCATCCATCAAAAAATATAAATATACAACAAGTACACGAGGCATTGGCTTTATCCTTATAAATCTAGGATTATTTTTTCCCCATTGTTTAAATTATTTATTTGTATCCATTATTTGACCAAATAAACATAAGAACCTGAAACGTTTTAAAAAAAAAAAAAAAAAATCTTAATACACATTTGAAACAAATCTCTCCTTGATTCAAAAATTGTTTGCATGTTTCACGTACTCATTACGCGCATTTCTTTCCTATTCAAGATTCGCTTCATTTCAGCCAAGTTTCTTAAAAAATCATTTACCATTCATTTATGCGGGAGTTTAAGCCCTAACCTCATATATATATATATAGATTGAAAATAGTAATGGGAAATATCAAAATTTCGATTCCGAAAGATAATACCTAACCTACTTTTGAGGGTCGTTACCAAAAAACAATTCGTACAACTATTTTTAAAATAAAGTTCTGATTATTTTAGGTAAAAAAGCCTCATTCATATTAATAATTTTCACTGCCACAAATATTTATCACCTAGAAATCTTTCGTCACATGACTTTAAGTTCTTTTGGTACAAAAATATAATTTTTATTAAATAAAAAGCTATATTGTTCGATATTCATTTTTGTGTCAAATAATACTATCTTAATACAAAACAGGTTTAAAATTCAAGTTAAAAATACATCTTCCAAAAAAAAATGTTTAATTTTTTATATTTGCAATTAATCAAATTATGAAGAAATTTTAGAATTTTTTTTTTTTTTTTTTTAAAAAAAAAAAAATAATGATAATAATAATAATAATAATAATAATAATAATAATAATAATAATAATAATTCAGTAATATAAACTTTTTTTTCTCTTTTTTTTTGTTCCATTATTAAAATATGTCGAATTTTGTAACGTTCATATCAATTTTTATCTACTCCATTTGTCGTCTTCATATATTTTATTATCGCAATCCATTTTTTCTTGGCTCGGTTAATCTCACTATAAGATAATTCGTCACTGATACTGGCATCATTTTTTTCTAAAACAGAAAACCCGTTCAAGGCTCGGACAAAATTCACAAAACATCGTTTTTCTTCTTCTGTAATGGCCCATTCATCACTATCGCAGCCATCTACATTATATGGTTTTTGCCATCCCAACTGAAGAAGAAACCTTTCCTCACGTTCAACGGATGATGAAGTTGAGATATCAGAGTAATGATTATTTTTTACATCTATACCTGCCGTTTTCTCATCACTTATATCTTTGATCGTTAAATCACTACTAATATTGTCAACCTCTTCCTCATCCTCTTCTTCGATATGATCACAATCATTCATTGGATTAACATTTTCCTTTCTATCATTCAAGAGTCCTTCATCATCTTCTTCCTCCTCAGGAAAAATTTTAAAATATCCCATTTTTCCCATGGTAGTATTACTCCATAAATACTTTGAATTACCACTCACACTCAATCTCCTCCCCGTTATCGATGACTGACCAAAATTACCGATACGAGATGTCGCAGTTGATGTCTTCGAAGTTGAGATGGATGCAGACCTTTGCCTTTGAGGCTGAGTGTTGGTAGGTTTGGTCGCCACGGTCTCTCTAAGATAAGGTCTGGCATTCTGCGTTTGTCCAAGAGATCGACCATTCGATATACCAATCCCTACACCAAATCCAAAAACCGAGCTTCCGTTGGGACCTCGAGCAACGCTATCTACTGACAAAGACCGGCTAGTTTTGCGTTTCATGGTGTGTTTGGTTCTCTTCCCATCTAATTTACCACTTTCTACCTTTGGTACCAAGGACATACGTCTCTCTAATTCCGGTTCATCATCTATATTAGGAATAAAGAATTTCGTAGATTCCTCAGTACCAGGCGTGGTAGAAGTAGGCGAAAGTAACTTTGATTTTGTGTCTGACTTTGCTATATTAGTAGATCAACTAAAGTAAGTACGGGACTCAATTAAATCGAGACCAAAATTTATATGAAAGTAATATTTACCCCAAATGTTTTCAACATTCTTCGCTGGAAGGTCTACAGACAAGTTAAATTCCTTTTTTTTCGCTAAGGTTGGCTATTATAATTACAAAATTTGATCCATAAGATTATGATTAGAAATTCATAAAGGTGCCAAAATAAATTGATTAAATTAATTATTTAACTTACAAAATTCTTATCAAAACTCGATGAAATAGGTTGACTAGTTTGGGAGGCAGAACGGGATCGACCATGCACCTTAATCGGTAACTAGATGTCAAAATTGTAATCACAAAATTTAATTAACTTTACTTTTAAAAAAAGATTTCTATAATTTCATTAATATTTGTAACCACCTCACGTTTTTCTACTTCACTTAAAACGGATAAGCGAGAACTTGATAAATCTCGCGACTTTGATCGAGTTGAAGAAAGTGGCGATATCCCATTAGCTGATAAACGATTAAGAGAAGTGCTACCATCTGAAAATGTAAATTCACACACGTTTACATTTTATATAAAATAAAAATTATAAATAAGAGTTGTGGTCCGTGTCACAAGAGTATTCCCAAAAAAGGATTCTTAACCTAAAAAATTTTTTGGAAACTGATTCAACCACCAACCAAATTTTTTTCTTCTATTTTATTCTTAATTATAATATTAATACCATAAACTTAGGTCAGATAGCTATATATCAAAAATGATTCTTACCTTTCCCTAAACCTTCCCTGGTCTGCCGAATACTACCAAGTCCATCCTTCTTTGACGTACCCCACCCCTTCACCTCCTCCTTTACGGATTTTCCCTCAGTTGCCGGTGCATTAGCTGGACTTAACACCGTTGTGGAAGATCCAGATTTATTACTTAAATTTGTTAACCAGCTAGGAGCAAAAACATAAGATGACGCAGAGGTTGCTCTCCTTTGTCGAGATGATGTTTTAGGCGTGGAAGTAGACTTATTATTGGTATTCATCTGAGTTGTGCCGATATTGGCTGTCGTTGCTGTAGACTTTGAATTTGTTGTATTAGGGGGCATGGTATAATGTATCGTGGTATGGGGTGGCATTGGAGTATTGTGCTACTAATTTTTTTTTATTTTATTTTATTTTATTTTTTTTTTTTTTTTTTTTTTTTTTTTTTTTTTTTTTTTTTTTTTTTTTTTTTTTTTTTTTTTTTTTTTTTTTTTTAATGTTTCAATTTTTTATCCAGTTTCAAGAACTATTTCTTGCCTTGTATGGATCCGAAGTTGCTAAGGTTTAATAAACTTTGCAATATGAACGCAAAGGAACCAACAGAACCGGAACCACACTAACAAAATTAATTCTCTATTCTTATAAAAAAATGATTTAAATTTCTATTTGCAAATGTTACTAATAATAATAAATTAATGATTCACCTCAACGCTCCAATTCTCTCTTCCAATCGTCTCCTCAAAAAGAAAATTTTATATTTGAAGATATTTTTAGTTAGTTATTCAGTTTATGTCTAACAAATATATTGCAAAGGAAGGGAGTCTAAAAGCAATAAATCTCTGAAAAAATGAAAAGACTCGCAAGTTGGCTGAGTATGTCTTGACAAAATTTCCCGACGTACTAATAATTTTTTTTCGGGGTCGTTAGTTCTGCTAGGTTCTAAGTTTATAATGTAATTACACTAAATTTATGAATAAAGCGAAACTGAATATTGCACAAGTCAGTTTGCTGGCAGAATAAATAAATTTAATAAATCGTGTTTAAAAAATAGGTAAAAGCAACTGTGATTAAGCTATATGAAATATTTTTATAACTATTATATGGTGTAATCAAAAATAAAAAAAAAAAGGAAAAAAAAAAATATTTCTTCGATTATAAATTTATACAAAATAAAGTAAAACTTTGAGTTTTGGAAAAAGGAAGAAATCAAAAAAAAAAAAAAAAAAAAAAAAAAAAAAGTGAAATTGAAAAAAAATGAGGAGTTACTTCAAGAGAGATTAATCTTCCGGGTAAAACCAGCGTTTAGATTTTGTGTGGTGGGGATGCTCAGGTTCGAGTATTAAAGGCATAGTCAAGGTTTCACAAAATACCACCAGCATCGGTATTATTATTTAACAAAAGGTAACAATGTACTGTAATATGCAAATTAAACGTAAAACTATAATAATTAAAAAAGCAAAAGCTTTTTTAACCGTTTTTACTAATTTTAATAATAAAATTTTAATACAATAAGAATTATTAATATATTTAATAAATTAAAAATCACATTATAATTATATTTAAAATATTTTACTTTAAATTATATATATTATTTAATAAAATATTTATATTATTTTACTTTATTTAAATTATATGTAATTTAATATAAGCATTTTGTAATAAATTAAATCTAAACATATTTTGCTATAAAAATTCATATTTTACATATAAAGTAAATTTTATTTTTTTAGTAGATTTCATAAAATACCTATGTAATTTTATTATATTTAAAAATTTTTACCAATAAAATATTATAATAAATTTAATTAAGATTTTATAATACAATTTTAATACTTAAATTAAATTAAATAATGTTTAAAAAATAATTTATAAATATATTTATATATTAATTTTATAGTTTAGCTTAAATAATTATTAAAATATAATTTAATATTTTATTTTTTACTTTAAGATATTATTTAAATATTTTATTAAATAAATAAACAAAAATTCTTATAATAATTTATTTCATAAATATTAAATATTTAAATTTTTAATTAAATATAAATATTTAATCTAAACAAACTTTATTTATTTTATATTAAATAATTAATAACAAATATTTTATTAGCTTCTTTAGTTATTATAAACAAATTTGCTTGCAATTTTAAAACAACCACAAAAAATAAAAATTGATTAACATTTAAATTAATTATAAAATATATATATATTTTTTTTTTTAATTAAAATTATAATTTATCAATTTGTTTTAAATGATTATATTTTTAAAACTTAAAAAAATACTTTAATTAATTTTTAATATATTATAAAATTAAAAATTAATAATTACTAAGAAACAGAAACTTTTATTAAGTCTAAAATAATAACTAAATAATATTCACCCTGATATTTGTTTTATCTAGAATTTTATGTAATTATAAAAGCTAATTAGTATTGACTTAATTATTGAGTGGGTAAATATTAAACCATTTTTTTATTATATATAATCTTACATTTTATTTTGGACTAATAATCTTATAGTAGATTTATTATACTCAAATATAACTTTGTATAATAATTTTACTATTTTAATTTTATATTTTATTAAAAAAAACTTTTTTATTTAATAATTTTAAAATATTACTTTAATACTTTAATAAAAAAAAAATATATTAAGTTTAAAACTATTTATATTAATTAAATTATTAAATTTTATAATTTTGAATTATATTATTTTTATTTTTAATTATAATATAAACATCTCTATCTCTTAATATATTATATAATATATATTAATATTCTAATAGTATATAAAATTTATATTAGTATAAGATTTCTGAATAAAACTTAGAGGTTTTACAAGTCATTTAAATAATAAAAGATAAAATTTACAAAATTTTAAAAAGATAAAATTATATTAAAACTTATAAAAATGTAAAACTATATTAAAGCCTATAAAAAATTAGCTAAAGTTTAGATATTTTACTAAATCCAAAATGAGTTTAGGTAAATAACCTTATATCAGTATTTTTAGTTTAATTAATAATAACTGGACTTCTATTATAAGTTATACTGTAATAATTATTAATGTTGATAAGTGACCTTAAAATAACTTTAAAATAATCTCAAATAATATTATTTTTATTATAAATTTTAAGTCAAAATAATCAAAGATTATTTAAAAATAGTAAATAACCTTATAATTTACTATCTCTAATAATCATAAGTTTAGACTAAAAATGATGTATTATTTAATTACAATAGGTAACAAATAATATTGCAACTAATTGTAATATTATAATAAATATTACAATATTACAATATTATTTTTAATTAATAGTATTATTACAAAATAATGTTCAAAAAAAATGCTAGTTTCTTAAAATTTTATATAATAATTTATTTTAATAATTAATAAAAATATTTAGTGTATAATTACGTATAAATATATATATTTTTATAAATTTTACAATTATAAAAGAATAAAATAAATGTAAATATATTTATAATATCTTAAGTTGCAGATATTAAAAATATACAATACTAAGTTTAGGTCTCAACTAAAATATAAAATAATATAATTCTTATATAAATTTTATTTGTAACTAAATATGTAGTATATAAATTAATATATATAAAAATTTTGTTTATTTAAACTTATAGAAATTTTTTTTAATATTTTATTTAAATTTAATGCATTATTATATATAATTGCTAAAATTAGTTAATTAATCTATCAATTAATATTAATTATATCTAAATATTGAATTTAAAAATATATAAATGTAAATGAAATTAAAAATTAACAAAATTTGCTAATAAGTCTATAATAGATACTATTTTATATTTTTAAATAGTAAAAGCTCTTATTTTGTAAAAGGTAATTAACTAGTAATTAATAAATTAAATTAATTTAAGAAATTAGAATTACTAGTGATAATAAATTGCATTATAAAATTAGATTTTTAAATGATTTAATAATATAAGTATAATAATCACTTTATTATTTAAAAATCTTGATCTTATAAAAATTTTAACAACTATTAATAAAATAAAATTTTACATAAACGATTTTAGTAAAAATAGTTTAATATAAATTACTATAGTTAAAATAAGATTTTTATTCAAATTTAGTAGTAAAATTCTTAAAGTTTAATTATCTTAACCAAATAATATGTAATGATCTAATTATTTTAGTAATTTATAATATTAATAGTAGTTTTTAAAATAAAAAAATTAATTGTAATTACTTTATAAACTTTAAGAATTTAAAATTAAACATAATAGTATTCACAATAGTAACTTAATCATTTTAATATTTGTGAATATAATCTTAATTAATTTAAATTATTCTTTTTAAATAAAAAATAGTATATAAATCTATAGGTATAATATATATATTATAATTGTTAAAACTTATATTTTACAAATATATAATATTTTGAATTTGATACTTTTAACAAAAACTGTATTATTTAATATATTTTTACTACTGGTTATTATGAGAATCTGTTTTATAAATTAATTTTTAATTATTTAAAAATTTATATATTTATTGTATTACTTTTTTCTTCTTTTATATTATATTTTTATTTATTTATAATTTATTAAATCTTTCTTTATATATAATATATTTCTTTTCTTTATTATTATATCTTTATTTTTCTTTATTCATTTCTTTTTATTATTTTATATACTTTTTTAATTACTTTTTATATTATTTTGATAAATTATTCTTTAAATATAATTTATTTTCTTTTATCTCTTCAATTATATCTTTCTTTATTATTATTTTTTATATTTTTATTTTTTATTATTTTTTATTATTATTATTAGTTATTATTATACTTCATTATTTTTTATTATTATTATTCTTTATTATTCTTTATTATTCTTCTTTATTATCTTTTATTATTATTATTTTTTATACAGTCAACTCTTTATAAATATGCTTTTTATAAATGTATCTTTTTATCTAGTTACAACTTGAGCTTTAATGCTAAATGCACATTTTTTATATATATATACTCTCTGTAAATGCATTCTTTATAAAAAAAATTTTATATAGTTTATTATAAATTTTTTGTATTACCTTAATTTTAGATTAGTATTATATAGATTTATATATATTCTAAAATACACCCTCTCTTTAAATATACCCTTATATCTAGTCTTAAAAGAAATGCATTTATAGAGAGTTGACTGTATTATTTTTTATTATTGTTTTTTATTATTTTTCTTCATTATTTTTTTTTTTATAATTTTTATCTTATAATATATTTCTTTATTTTTATTTTTTTTTAATTTTATTTTAGATTTTTGTCTGATTATTTTTAATCCTTTCTTTATTTTTTATATAATTTTCTTTTAAAAATTTCTTTATATTTTTCTTTTTTATATTATTCTAATTAATAATTTATTTTATTTATTATTATTATTTTTAAATAATATAATATAATAATTAAATTAGTAAGTAAATATAATATCAAATATATTTTTTTATATCTAAAATTCTTTATTAATCCTATAGTAAATATTATATAATTTTATTATCTAAACTAATAATATCTATTTTTATAAGATAAAATTCTATTCCTACTTATAATAATTTAATATTAATTAATTCTTTAGATTATTCTTCTAATTTTCAATTTTTTACTTGTCTTATTTCTAATTTCTTATTTTTAATTTCTAATTTTTAATCTAATTTCAAAATTCTATTAATATTCTATTATATATATCATATCTATTTTAAATTTTTAATTAATTCTTCTTTAATATTTAAGTTATAATTAGTAAAAAGAAACCTTTAAGAAATATTTATTTTTTTAAAAAAATGGAAATTAAAAATTTAATAAAAATTACATAGAATAAAAAGTAATATGAAAATCAATTTATATTTGAATATAATACATATTTTTTATTTTATATAAATATATTTAACTTTAATAATATTAATAATAAAAAAAATAAAAAAAAAAATTTATTTTTTCTTTTGACAATATTATTTTAGAATAATATAAAAATAATAAATTTATACAAAAAATTACTTATAATTTAAAACAATTTTTTGTTTTATCTAACTATACTTATAATAAAAAAAAAATATTTAAAGAAGTTAGATTTAAAGCTTTTCTTGTAAGATATTTAAAATTTAAAAGTTTATTAAAAAATAATTGAAATTTGTTTTAATAAGATAATTATTAGCTTTCTTTAATAATAATAATAATAATCATCGCAATTAAAAAAATAACGCAATTAATTTATAACTTATAATACAATTAAATTTTTTTATGATGCAATTAAGTTATAACTCAATTGAAATTTAAAAATAATTATAGAGAACATCTTTAATTAAGAAAAAAACTTTTTAATTATTAATTTAATCTAATATTTTCTAATTTAAAAATCTTATTTTATTAGTATTAAAAATAAAACTTTAAAAGTTATTAAACATTATTTATTAATTTAAAGATTAATAGAATGATATTATGAAAATATAAAAATTTTTTTAAAGTATTATCTTCATATTATTTTAAATCAAAAATTAACTACAAAAGTTTATAATTTTATTAATAATTATACAAATATTTATAGATTTCTCTCACTAAATCATTATATATAAACAGACTCTTTAACAATTATTTTATTAAAATTTATAGAAATTTTATTATAATATATAAAGAATTAGATAAATATACATCTATATATTATATAAAAGTTTTGTTAAATTTTAAAAGAATTTTACTCTACATATAAATTTATAACGTTAATTACAGATTTATATAATATTTATAAAATATTAAAAAAATTTAATATATAAAAAATTTTGATAAAAAAATTCAAATAGGATTAAAATTAAAGATAAAGTAAAAAAGGAACAAAATTAATATAATTATAATATTATAATTAGTAATATATATAAATATTACTTATATTTATTATAATTTAATATAAAATATTTTGACTTTTTTTCACTTCAGCAAATTAGTCAAATATATTTCAAAACTGTTTTTATAGCTCATATAAAAGAAATAATCTCTTGTATAACAGTTAAATTATATTATTAGTAAAAATGAATTTTTACATAAAATTGTAAAAAAAGATGTTAATATAATAATCAATTTTATTTTTAATATATTGAATAAATTTAATAAAAAAAATAATATTTAAAAGTTACTTATAATAATTATATATATTAAAATAAGAATAATATTTCTTTATTTTTCTGATCTTGATTAATAATAATAGGAATATATAAAATTATTAAAGTAAATTTTATAGTTCTAGAACACACAAATTTTTACCAGATAAATATTTTAGTAATATTAAAATACTCTTTTAAAAAATTAGAATTAACACAATAAATAATATTAAACAAGTAATTAATAAATCTATTAAAAATAAAATTAATTTTAACTAATTGTATTATTCATTATAATGTTATGTTAATTCTTTAGATCATGAGCAAATCACCTGCAATATTACAGTTTAGCAGAAGGTTTCCTTCACACAAAAGATTAAAAATACAGATACAAAATATAAAAAATAGAAATAAATGAGACAAGTGGGTGTAATACGTGCAATTAATTATTTAACAAATAAAAGACTAGTACTACTACTATTAGCACATCTGTACTAAACAATTTATTCCTTAAAAATTTACTACAAGACAAGTTCTACTTTCTCTATATTTCCTATAAAACTAATCCTATTTATATAAAAATACTTATTAATAACAATAAAATAAATAAAGTAAAGAAAATAGATAAAATATATAAAATAATATAAATGAATAAAATAATAAAAATGGATAAAATAGTTTAAATAAAATAAATAAATTAAATGATAATTATTAAATTTGAAAAATAAGAAATGCAGATTATTTATCTAATTAGTTTAGTAATACAAATGCAAATCCTTTTACTATTATACAAAATTAATCATTTTTTTTTTTTAATTTTTACAAATCATTTTGCATATTATTTTTAAATGTAACAATAAGAAAATATGTAATTTTATTATGATTTGAATTATTTTTAAAATCTAATTTTAAAGATTTTAAAATTATCAACAATATTTATTTAAAAAATATGAACTAAAAAAAAATTTATTTAAAATAGTGTGAAAAATAAATTTGAAATATAAAAATTCTAAAAATTAGTTTTTTAACTAGAATATATAATTAAAATTGAAAAATATTTTCAGTTATTTTTTGTATCACAAATAAATTATAATAATTTTTTTTTTTAATTTTTTATCTTATTTTATAATATTATTATTACAATATGAATTTAAATGTAAAAAAATTTATTTCAAAATGATCAATTTTTAATATGAAGATAATTCTAACAAAAATATTAAATATTTTATATAAATAATAGTAAAATATTTAAACTTAAATAGTTAATTAAATTATCTTGATTACATTATAATGAAAATAAAAAAAAAATGTATTATACTTTATATATATGGTATAAGAAAAAAATAAGTTGATTACAGAAAAAATGATAAATATTTTAAAAAATCAGCAATTAAAAAATATATAAATATTAAAGATCATAATGATATAGAAAAATTAGAAAGTATAAAAATATAAATAAAATTATTACAAAAAAAGCTTGTTTCTTTTAATATAAATACAAATTATATTATTAATATAATGTGAACTGTTTATTTTTTTACAAAAAAAAATTTGCCTTTCAGACTTTTATCTTCTATTATTGAATTAATAAAGAAATTAGATTTATCAAATCTTTTGATGATATGATTAGATATATAAATTTTATTTTTTAATATAAATTTTTAGAGACAATATTAAATAATATTCAAGAAAAAATTTAAAACAAATTATTTGATATTATAGTATTCAGTATAATAATTGATAAAATTACAGAGAAGAAATTTTAACAATATGTTTTTATGTCTTGTATTTTAACTAATTATAATGTAAAAAGTATTAAATAATATTTTTGAAAAAAAATTTTATCTAAAATTTATAGTATTTTCTTTTGACAGTATTTTAAAACTTTTTTTTTTAGTTTAATAATGCAATACCATGATAAGTTTATTTAAATTTAAAAATAAACAAACAGAATTAAGATATAATATTTAAAAAATAATAATTTTAAACTATCATTACCTTTTATTACTATATTTTAAATTGTTTGAATTAACTGCCATTATTATCCTCTTTGGTAGACTCACTTATCACATAAAAAATAAATTTTACTATTAATAAAGAAGAAGAAAAAGCATTTTAATATAACATGATTAATTTCTAATCTACATAAAGAATTCTATCTAAAACCTAACCAAACACAAAAGGAAGAATACTGATATTTTTTACATAGAATTCTTATTTATAAAAAAAAAACTTAAAAAATATTTTATAAAGAAAAACTAAAAAAATCAAAACTATAAAATTTAAAAAATGAAAGTGAGTAAGTAATATTTAAATCAATAATAGAAAAAAAAAAAAAAAAAGAAAAAAAAAAAGTAAAAGTAAAAGAAAAGAAAAAGAAATAATAGTAGTAATAACAATAATAATAATACAAAGATATGCTATAACTATAATAAAACTAGTCATTTAGCAAAGAATTATTGATCAAGTCAAAATAACAATTAAAATGAAAATGGTAATTACAATAATAGAAATAGAAATAACTAGCAAAATAACAGGCAATCCTCAGAAGAAAATCAGCAAATAAATTCCTCTATCAATCATTTAAACTAGTAGACACACCTTTAGGAAATAAGAGTGTGAATAATTCAAACCCTCTAAGAAAGCAAATAAAATGGAATAATCTATTAGAAGAAATTAGAGAATTTAAAAAGAAAGATTATGAGAATGAATATATTATTATTAACAAGCTCCCAGATGATGATGAGTTAGTTGAGTATTGGCACATTTTCCAAGGATATGATACTCCATGTTTAGTTTGTAATTTTAATGATGTTGACCATCATAGTTATATGATTACAAGAAAAAAGAATCTTAAAGTTCAAAAGATTTTAAAGCAACAGGATAACAGGAAGCCAATTATATCTAAAAATAACAAATCTAACAAGCCTCATAACCTAGGCTATGTGATGAATATTATCTATAATGATGTTGGAATATTCCTATCAAAAAGGATCAACAAACATAAGAAAATATATAACCTCTGGCAAGTTCCTGGTGGAAAAATTGAAGAAAATGAGTATTCAATCGAAGCAGTTATTAGAGAAACAGAAGAAAAAATAGGATTAATTATTAAAAATGATATACCAAAACTTATTTTTAATGATTCTGGATTTAATTGCGACATCTATATCACCAAAGTAAATATGAACACAACCCTCAGAAACACTGAACTGGATAAGCAAAGTTCATAGATCCTAAATACCTTTGAAGAATATGAAGGAAAATGTAAAAGAAAAGAAATGACTTTAATACATGTTAAATATTTTCAAAAGATATTAGAAAATTTAGAGATATCTAGAATGATCGCTCAAGCTCAATGGGAGGAACATAAACCCCAGGATGCATATTTTGCTGAAGCTGAAGTTTTTGAAAGGAAAATTAATGTGATGATTGATACAGGAGCTGTGAAATATATCATCATTAAAAGTTTCTTAGATTCTGTGCATAAGGATATTGAAGTATCTACAAATATACAAATAATTAGTATTATAGAAGCAAGGATAGCACCTTTAGGAAAAATGTTAAAAGTAAGTATAAAAATAGGAAAGTTTGAAATCATAGTTACTGAATCCTTTAGATATAATGTTCTACTTGGAAATGATTGGATAACTATACAAGCAAAGGCTATTATTGATACAAGTAAACAAATTATGATAATCAAACAAAATAATGAAACTGATATTGTTCCAATCATGTACTTTTCCAAGATCAATCCAAAAGTATTTATTCTTATAGATTTTGTTGAAGAAAAATATGATGATTTAGAAATTGAAGAAATATATAAAAACCTTAACACTATCTGAACGTATCTTTTGACAACAATATGACAACCATCAACAATCAGCTGAATTTTTAGAATTCAGCAAACTTAAACTCCTTAGGACTAATAAGTATTGGAAAGGACCAGGACGATGCTTGTGTAAAATATTATCAAAAGAAGAAGATTATTCATATTGTAAAGTATTACATCAGGGCCTATAGAAATATTAAATAGCTGTTTCAATTAATAAAGCATAAATTGAAGCAAGCGATAAACTGATAAAAATATCAAAAGAAAAAGAAACACTAATAGGAAATTTAACAAAAGATCAGCAGCAGTAACTATAACAATTACTAGAGAAGAATGAAGATTTATTTGCCAATGAGAAGTCAGAATTAACACAAACCAATATTTCTTAACATGCAATCATCACAGAAGATGTGCATTCTATAAAAAAAAGACCATATGCAATATCTCCAAAAGAAAAGGAATGGATAGCATTAGAAATAGATGAAATGTTAGAATAAGGAATAATTCGACTATCTAATAGTCCTTGGTCTGCACCTATAGTTTTAGTCAAAAAGAAAAATAGTTAGATGTGGATGTGTATTAACTACAAAGAACTTAACATAATCACGAGGAAAAATAATTATCCATTACCATGAATAGATGAGTTATTGGACTCACTTCAAGGCTCTTGTTGGTTCACATCTTTAGATCTATTTTCAGGGTTTTGGCAAATAAAAATTCGATCAGAAGATGTAGAGAAAACTGCTTTCATTACTAGCGAAGGATTGTATGTGTTCACAGTAATGCTATTTGGATTATGTAATGCTCCAGTTACTTTTCAAAGAACAATGGATACTATTTTTCAAAAAAAAGAAACAAAAGTTTGTTAAGGTTTATATGGATGATCTAAACATTCACTCAAAAACATTTCAGGAATATTTACAACACTTACAATTAGTTTTTGATCAAATTAGAAAAGCTAATTTGAGAATTAATCAGACAAATGTCACTTTTGTACCAATGAAATAAAGTTCTTAAAACATGTGATTAATGAGGAAGGAATTCAACCTGATCCTTCAAAAATTGAAAAGGTTATCAATTATCCTAGACCAAGAAATTTAATAGAATTAAGAGCTTTTCTAGGATTAGCTTCTTACTATTAAAGGTTCATCAAGGATTTTTCAAAGATATCAGCTCCATTGTATAAACTGATAGAAAAAGAGAAAAGTTATATATAGAATGATAAAAGGTAAAGAGTGTTTGATATATTGAAAGAAAAATTGATAACAGCACCTATTTTCATGTATCCAGATTTTAATAAACCTTTCATTCTTTATACTGACGCTTCTCAGATTAGTTTAGGCATAGTATTATCTTAAAAAGGAGATGATGGAAAAGAGCATGTGATCATATATGCTAGTAGAACTCTGAATTCAGCTGAAAAGAATTATAACACAATAGAACAAGAATGTTTAGCTATTGTGTAGGCAGTAAAATATTTTAGACATTACATCTTTGGAAGTAGATTTACAATTATCACTGACCATATAGCATTACAATGGTTATTAAATGCTGAATCAAAATTAACTGAAAATAAAAGGATAATGAGATGAAGACTAATCTTATAAGAATATAGCTATAAGGTAAAATATAGAAAAGAAAAACACTATGAAAATGCGGATGCCTTATCTCAGATAAACCTATATGATCATGATCTAACACAGGAAAATATATCATCACTACCAAACTCTAGATTTTTCAATAATGGATAATGAATTTTATGAAAATCTAACCCAATATTTGAAAACTCTTACATACCCACCAGATTTGAACAACTCTCAATGGATTAAACTGCAAAAGGATTTAACCCAATATATAATGAAAAACAACTTACAATACAAACAAAATAGAGATGGAGATAAGAGAGTGATTTTGCATGAACAAATGGAAATTATTTTTATAATTTTCACAAAGATATGATAGGAGTTCACCTTGAAATTGATACTACTTATGAAAAAGTAAAGGAAAGATATTACTGATCCCAGATGTTTGATGATATCAGAAGTTATATTCAGCGATGTAACAATTGTCAGAAAAGAGGATCATCTAAGAGAAAAGAACCTTTGCAACCAATCAAAGTAAAAGCACCCTTTCATAGAGTTGGAATTGATATAAAAGGATCATTACTTAGAACTTTTCAAGAAAATCATTATATAATTATTGCCATAGACTACTTTACAAAATGATCTGAAGCTAAATTAATACCAGATATCAAATCAGAAACAGTTGCGAAGTTTATTTTTAATGAAATTATTTGCATACATAATGTTTCAGAAGAACTTCTATCTGATAGAGCAACTTTTTTCTTGAATAAAGTAGTGGATACATTTTGTGAAAAATTTCAAACAAAACATCGACTTACTTCTGCATATAGGCTACAAACAAATGGTATAGTTAAAAGATTCAATAGAATAATTAGTAAATGTCTTGCTAAATTAGTTGCTGACAAAGAAAAAGAATGAGACGAATATGTAGAATCAGTTTTATTTGCTTACCACATAATGAAGCATAATACTACTAGTTATACACCTTTTTACTTTCTTTATGGAAGACAAGCAAAGCTACTAATTGAATTAAAAATTCCAACAGAATTGAGTGATGACAAAAATATTAAGGATGCATTAATAGAAAGATTATTTAAGATAATCAACCAATTAGAAGATGATCGACAAACTGCTCTTAACCGAATCAAGGTTAATTAACAAAAACAAAAGGATCAACATGATATTAGCATAATATTTGAGAAATTTAAAATAGGTGACAAAGTATTAGTAGAACGCATATGGTTAAAAACTAATTTTTCTGCAAAATTAGAGGAACGTTAGATGAGACCTTATTTCATACATGAAGTGTGAGGCAAAAATTACAAATTAAGAAATATGGATGAAAGATTGGTTAAAGATATAATACATAGTGATTAACTTAAATTGTATTATGAAAATATTTTAGAACCTCAGATTCTTATATAAAGGCCACTCTTCTTAAGTTTAAAAATTCAAGAAGAAAATTCAAAAATGGTTACTCCATATGATCTTATAAGTCTTGACATTTTAGAAGTTGACCCTTAGGATATTTTAGTGATTCTACCCCCATATAATGATGATGATTATTCAGAATTAAAATTAAAATCAACTTATCGACGGATGGTTAGATCTGTAAGATTACATCAGCGTATTCCTACTTTAACCTATACATACTATTTAGGAATTTTAATTGATTCACATGAAATTCCAAAAGATATTATTAGAAAAATAATTACACCTTATTACTAAAGAGCAGCAAAAAGAACTTATTTTATTTTTGAAAATAATATTTCTCAAATTTATCAATCAAAGTTTACAACACTATTTCTAATTAAAAGGTTGAAAATGGCTGAATATCAGTCATTATGTCAACCATTCTAATTTCGCAGTAGCTCAATTTTTTAAAAAGAAGATAGTTAGTGATATAGTTAGCGTAGTTAAAGTAGCAGATTTTATTTTTTTTTTATTTTTATTTTATTTTAGTTATTTTATTTAATATTTAGTTTATTAGATAACTTTATAGATTTAAAAAAGCAAAAGCGTAATGATGTGCAAAATTTTATTAGATAATTGAGAAATACAAATTCAAGATATATGAAAATCAAAAATATGAAAAAGATAAAACAAGGAAAGACTATTCTAAAAAATATATTAAAACTATAAAACCCAAAAGAAACTATAGAATAGAAAAGAGGAAAGGAAGCGTAGGTTACATATTAGTGTGAACAGATAAATGTGACGCAGCCTAAGTGGTGCAAAAGATTGACCGATTTGACATAATTGATATATATGATATGTCAGACATATTTGACATATTTGACATATTTGATATAGTTGACATAGTTAATATAGTTGATATATTAGATATAGTTGATATATTAGACATGTTAGTTATATTTTTCTATGTATTTTATTTTATATAAATAAGTAGCTTTTTAGTTCATATAAAAGGGAGACAGATTGGAATTTAGCAAGATAGTTTTAGTAGTTTTAGAGGCAACTGGCCTACTGCGTTACCTTTTAGCTTTAGTATTTCGTTTCTTTTTTTTCTTATTTTTCTTCTTTATTTTCTTTTACTTTTTTTTTCTTTATCTTTATCATTATTTTACTCATGAATAAACACATTATTTATAAATACAATTTACTGGCAATCTGTTGAATCAAAACTTGTTGTAATAATATAAATACTTTGATAAATCATCTGAGTTAAAGCTTGTAAACTGTTGAAAGATTACTGCTCAATTAAAAAGAATAAACTGCTCAAACACTCCGTCTAACAGTTGTAGTTCGCAAGAATTACACGTTAACATTTGGCGATAATGACAGGACTATCTTCTCCTAATTGGTGCAGTAATAACACATAAGAAACACTACATGAGTTCATTTGAAGACATATTTAATTACCAAAGAAAACACCAGCAACAACACCTTCAGAGAGAACGTAATATAGTCACAACTATCTTAACACTAGATACTTTGTGCATTATCTACCATCCAGCACCTCTACCATTGACTTTAACAACCTCATTTTGATCTTTCTTTGAGTGGACTAAATTTATCTTAGACGCACGATAATATACGGGAAAAACTATTAAAAACTTTTGAATAGCTTAATCTGCTACTACTGTTGAATTTCAATGATATTTTTATAATCAAACTTTTCAAGCTTTCATCTACAACAAATAACCTTTGTATACTCTTGCTCAAGCCCTTCAACTAGTTATTCAAGTACACCACAACACTACTGCTTTTTCTTTACAAACAATTAAATATATTAGCTTATCATATATCCTTCCAGTATTAAACCAGAATAAATATAAAATGGGACTTAAGGAACCAGTAACTCGCGGAAGCAGTACAACAGTCACATCAACTTCTGAAGAGAAAAATCCGCCTTCTTGATCAGCATATGTGTCTGATGATACTTTATTTATCGACACCACTCCAAGTGGAAAATCCAATCCGCCGCTTTCAGAAAGCAATATCTTAACCTTTAGTTCTTATAGGAACACTAAAGGATTATCTGAATCAAAATCAGAAAGTAAGAAAGGTGACTCGAAACACAAAAGTCTCAATCCGCTGCATTCTAAACCAAAGAGTCACCACTCTAAGGATCAAATTAAAGGCAAAAAACTTAGGTTTAAGAAAACTAGTAAGGTCAAGAACTGTCACTCTCCTTCTTATTATAATAGTTCTTCTTCTTCCTCTAGTTCTAGTTCAGAAGATAGTGACTCAAAGGATGACAGTGAAGATCCCTTTAATACTGACAATGCTAGGGACAATGAGGAACGAAACTTCTTCCAAATGATGAAAGGGTTACAAACTGTCTTTAAAACTGTCAGATTTGGTGGACAACGGAAGGCGAAATTTGTAGATTTGCCAACTTTTAAGGGTAGAAATCAGGACCCTTGTAATTGATTAGAAAGGTATAACAATGCTGGAGATGCGAATGGAATTTCTGACAAACGACGCCTTACATTAGTCCCATAATTTCTGAAAGGATCAGCTCTTACTTGGTATAATAAAACTAAAAATGAAAAAGATTTACGATACTGGGATAATTCAACTGATCAGCAACAATCATTTTTTAAAGCATTACTGTACAATGCACCGAAGGACACAATGGCGCTCAGCCTTTCAATGATATAAGCAGCATCCTGGATAGTCAGTTGAGGATTATGCCACTGACGTTAAGTCATTATATCTCAAATTAGACCCTAATTACAATACATCTGAAGATGAAAAGATTGAACAGTTTCTACAGGGGCTTTGCTTAGAGTTTCATACCGCTATTGCTGCAGCTGCACCTCATGACTTGGAAGAAGCAATTGATCGAATACAAGCTATCGAAGCCATATTATCTAAAGATAGTACTCTCTCTGGATATTCTTTAAGTAAATCATATTTGAATCAAAAGGATAATGACATCAATGAGGATTCTATTGCTATCCCAGACATTCAACAAATTATCGACTAAAATAATGAAAAATTGTTAAAAGAAGTCAAACAATTACTAATAACCACAAATACTACACAACACATCCAAAATATCAACACACATCCAGCCAATACAAATAATAATTAGAGAAATAATAATAATAGTAATAATACTAATAATAGTAATCAAAATAATCAAAGTTGCTACAACTGTGGACGACCTGGACATATCGCTCGTGACTTAAACAAAGAAATAATCCAGGAAATTAAAATAATAGTGGGAACAATCAGTATAATAATAGGACTAATACAGGGATCACCTGCCATAGTTGCCACCAAAAGAGATATATTTTCAGGAATTATAATAATCCGCCAAGAGGACCTTGCCCACACTGTAGCCAATTTGAACACTAGGGATATGTATACCTAACTAAGAATATAAATAATCCCGTTGGGAATATTGGAGAAAATGTCAATGTACTACCTGCTTTAACAATAGACAATGTGCTGCACTATCACAAACTATCCCAATATATAATACAGGTTTTACTCCAGTACCACAAACATCCATGACTTTCTCTATTCCAAACTCACTACTAATGAATAACCAGAGTGCGTTTGCCTCTTCATCACAGTCTTTAAACTATTAACGGTACCTTCAGAGGGTGAGAGTACCATTAAGAAAATAAATCCCTCAGAATTACTAAAGACCATAGAAGCAGTTTATTGTAATGCTACTGTTGACAATAAACCCATATATTTAATATTGGATTCAGGATCAGCTAGAAGCGTAATGTCTAAATCCTTCTTATAACATTTAGGACGAAAATTGAGTCAGTTTCTACTATTACATGATTAATATACAAGAAAGACGATTGCAACCATTAGGGCGAGTAACTAAAATTCCTTTGCAGATAAATGATATAGAAATTCCTATTGATGTTGATATTACAGAATCAAACGACTATTATATAGTAGCAGGAAATAATTGGCTCACTAAATGTCGAGAACAGCTTTATTAGGACTGTCAAAAATTTACATTTTTTTGGGATAATAAGGAATACCAGATCCCTATGACTTGTTGAAAAAAACTACAGTTTGATCATTTTCAACAACCTGTTGATATTATCAAAAATTTCTCTGACGAAGAATATGAAGATGAAGAATTAATAGCTCAACGACATTATATGATATTGGAAGACCACAATGACTCTATTCTTTTGGCTGAAAGTAATCCAAAATAAACTTTGGTAGATGGACAGAAATATTCACCCCAATACTTTGAAAGTTTAAATCAAAAATTCAATGTCCAACTACCCAAGAATGTAAAGTGGAAATATCATTGGCAAGGACCGGGAAATCGATATTGGTGCCATAATAAATTAGATAAAATTGATAAAACTTGTCAACTTTGTAAAAGAGAATGGGATCACTGGTAACTATTACGAAATATTCCAGATGAACCACCTACTAGTAGAATAACCTATAACCATCTCGATGAATTCCAACGGTAACAAATTATGCAATTTTTACATAAATATAGAGATGCATTCGCTGAAGACTTATTACAGTTAGGACATACAACAATTGAAAAACATCATATACCAGTAGAAAATCCAATGTCTATACGATAATGTGCATATTGAGTAGCTCCGTTAGAACAGGAATTTATCAAGGAAGAAGTTGATAGAATGTTAAAATACCATTTGATATAGCCATCTGAAAACCCTTGGGCCTCACCTGTTATTTTCATTCGAAAGAAAAATAGAAAATTACGATTTTGTGTTGATTACCGGAAACTCAATAGTATCACCCAACGAGATAGACATCCTTTACCACGAATTGATGAGTTGCTTAATATGTTTGGAAAAGCTAAATATTTCTCAACATTAGATTTGGCTAGTGGATATTGGCAGGTCGCTATAGATCCAAATGACCAAGCTAAAACAGCTTTCATAACTAGTCAAGGACTTTATGAATTCAAAGTAATGCCATTTGGGTTAACAAATGCCTCTGCGACTTTTTAACGCCTAATGAATAAGATTTTTAAAGAAGAAATTAGACAGTTCGTAGCTGTATATCTGGACGACATTATTATCTTTTCTGATACTTTTGACACGCATTTACAACACTTGCAGTTTATTTTTAAATGATTGAAGAATGCTAGACTCAAACTCAGAAAAGATAAATGTGAATTCGCAAAATTAGAATTAGTATTTCTAGGACACATAGTGAGTGGACAAGAAATCTTACCAGATCCCTCCAAAATTGATAAAATTAAGAATTTTCCAATCCCAAAGAATATCACTGAATTAAGAGGATTCCTAGGACTAGCATCATATTATAGGAGATTTATTTAGGACTTCTTGATATTTGCTGCACTATTACATTTATTATTACGAAAGAAAACACTTTACGTATGAATAGAATCACAACAAAAGGCTTTTGAACATCTGAAAATATGCTTGATAACTGCACCGATCTTGATTTATCCTGATTTTAAACAAAAGTTTTTACTCTTCACTGATGGCTCGTATATAGGTCTTAGCGCAGTATTAGCACAATTAGATAATAACAATAAGGAACGTGTCATAGTTTATGCCAGTCAAAGTATAAGTCAAGCTGAAAGAAATTATGCTCCAACTGAATTGGAATGTCTTACCGTTGTACGGGGAATAGAACATTTCCGACCTTATCTCTTACATCAGCAATTTGAATTGATTACTGACCACGCAGCTTTACAATGGCTTTTTAACAAACCTGATCCCTCTCGTAAATTTATGAGATGGATCATTTGCATTATGGAGTTTTTATATCAAATTCGATACAAAAAGGAAAAATTACATTCAAACGCTGACGCACTATCTCAACTTCTCCCACAATAATCCACAACTATTCTAACAAAAATTGAGAGTGAAAGTGAAAGTGTTAGCAGTGTGACTAACAGCTCTACAACATGGAATCTGAAACCTACCATCAACTGTACTAATACCTTCCCTAGATGCATACTTTAAAAGGTGAACTAAAGAGGTGATCACCTTTGTATTTCCAATATCCTTCTTTCCTTCAGCTGAATAAGAACAAAAGTCAATTATGAAAGTTGGTCATAAATAAATAAAAATCAACATATAATTAATGAAATCATTTGCGGACCTGTGCCGATGAGGTTTATGATAACTCTAGTGGCAAAATATACACACGTTCTTGCGACTTCAATATCATTCTCGTATTTTTTTAATACACCCTCAGGATCAAGGATTTCGGCCAAAGTATTTAAACCATCCTTATCTACTATTCCAACATTGACATTATCTATAATAAAAAGACATGATGTTTGATTGATTTATAACATTATTAAAGGAGGGAATTAACATATAAAGTTAAAAAATGACAAACACACCATAATTGAGTCCAGCGTTTAATAGAGTCGCACTAGAAGCGCGAATCGTTTCTAAATCTTTTTGTTGTTTTAAACAGTTAAGCGCTACATCAATACCACCGGTATCTATAAATTGTTGCCGATTTCTATCTAATTATAATAAATCGATCTCAGTAAAATTAGTGTTTGTGATAACATCAGAATAAAGAATTTGATCTCACCATGAGTTATACAGAAATTTGCAAGTGCGCGAAGACATTGATAATCAACATTAGGATAATTTACATTGGCGTTGACGTTCATAAATGTAACAATTAACTCGAAAGCTCCCGATAAACCGAGAGGATCACGCAATTTATCTTTTTTTTTTTTTTTTTATAATTAGAATTAATTCTTAATAAAAAACTAGAAAATATTTAAACAAAAATAAATCATTTACCAATTTTTGCAGCATTTGCCAATAATTCAACGATTTTTACAACCTGTGCCCAGGCATAAGCTTTAGTTTGTTCATCAAACGTTGAATCATCATCAATTAAAATATGTTTACATGATTCAAGACCAGATATTAAATTTGGAAGATATAACAATAAATTCGACACTATTAAGAAAGAGATGATGATCGGTTTAGATGGCTTAAAAAGACAATTTTTGATCATTTTAAATTACCGTTTGAAGCGAGTTGTTTCACGAGATCTTCAAGTTGTTTGATTTGATTGACTAAAAAAAAAAAAAAAATTTTCAAGTCAAAAAGGATGTATAAGGATGACGATGATTATTGATCTTTATAATAACTTTCAGAAATTGAATCATACATACCATCATTTTGAGAAATTTCGGTCATTTTCCTCTATTTAACTCCCTATAATTCAATAATTTCAAACTCAAAAGAATTCCCGATAAATAAAATTTTTTTCAATATTAAGCAGAACGGTTCAGGATCTCAAGATATTTATAGTTTAAATTATTATTTGCTTTGTGCCATAGATCTATCCAATTATGGAAGGTCGACAATCAAAAAAATTTTAATATTAATTGCCGATCGGATTGTTCTATAAACAGTAAAAAACATGGCTATTTGTGATACAGTTGGAGTAATAAAGTTTGAATTTATTGTCGATCAAAAATGAAAGATTATACTTTCTTCAGACATCGATTTAAAGAAACAAAAAAAGTTAAAAGGATATAGAGTAATGGTAAACCTCCTTATCTAATCTATTTCTGCTATATTATCTCTTGTATTACAAAGAATGTTGATAACCACAAAATCAGTTATCATAATCAAGGACAATCTTATTGTGGACCGCCAATAAGAGACGTTGTCGCGTACTACGTCAAAGAAATGCTAATCATTTCCTCTGTGCGTATTTACATGTGGGAGGGCTGTAACTATATCGGTCAAAGTTCCGTTTTTAACCAATTAAAAAAATTTAACTTAAAACAAGAGAACAAGAGGGGACGAACTTTTAGTAGTAGTAGTAGTAGTTGAAATGGTACATATTTTGAATTTTTTGCCGGTCATGTAATTATTCAATTCCGATTATGTAAATGAATTGTACCTTTTTGGGGAACAAAGTGGTTAATGATATGAAGATATTTATATTATTCGGCACGTATTTTTAAATCTTTTAAAAGTCAATATTTTATTAAATTAGATGTTTAATATTCATTCTAATTCTAATTCTATCATTTAATTTAAATACTTTTTTCTAAATTAAGCAAACCCGGAAAAGTCATTTTTTAAACTAATACTAGGTCCTTTGCTAAATTCTAATTGCTCATTGGCCTTCCTTTCTCTTTCTTTTTGTAACCGTTGTTGCTCTTGTAATACATTAAACCTTATAGAATTTTCTAATTTAGATTTAAGCTGAGGTGTTAAAGTGGCTAACGCTTCTTTAAAATTTAATGGATTAGTAGCAGCCAATGAAAGAACATGTTTAACCGAAATCAAATGTAATTTTGGAAGTGGATTAAATGATTCTAATGGTGCATCTTCTAAAAGATTAATTAATGTTGGTAAAGTAACTGCAATAACAAGCGATTCTACATCGAGATAATAGACATGATGTATTTCAGATTAGTTGAATCTCATTTAACAAAATAAAAATGAAATGTATATAATGACACTAATACTCACTGTGAGATTCGTTGGCTACAGTGTTTACCATAAGTAAGGTTTTAATAACTTCTTCAACAATATCAAGTTTATCAAGTTTATCATCGCTTGGTTCCAACCTTGAGTCTTTAATATTTTGTAAAAACATTACTAATTGTGGTATTAACGCCTTAATACAATTATAACTGATCTCCGTTGAAGCCATTACTGTAATCGTGTCGCTTTCCGATTTGGTTGAAAGTAAGATAAGAGTACGAATACATTGTAATGAAGTTACAGCAATCTATATTACGAAGATAATGATTTGAATTAATATTATTCATTTTCCTCGAAAGAAAAAATCACGTGAACTAAAGTACACTTACCGTAGTATTATTAGATTGAAATCCTTTTTTTAATATCTTAACAAATTCATTTTGCAATCCTAAAGACCTTAAACAGGATTTAGGATTACAAGTAAATAATAATACCAAAGCCAATAAACAATTTTTTATTATTGATACTTCTTCTTCACTATATTCTTTATCCACACTATATATCCAACCCAAATGAGAAACAAAAATTGATTTAATTAATCAAATGATTAAAAATTATCGATATTATAATTATTATTATTGAAACTAACCTCGTTAATACAGAATTAATTTTAGTTAAAATAGACCAAATGGAAGAATGGATAATTTTAGAAAATTTTTTCAAATCTTTTTCATCATTAAACAAACTCTCTAAATTTCCTCCATTACATAATAGTTTTATATTATACAATACATTTTGTGTCATATCATTTTGTTGAAATTTTGGATCCTGAATTAAAGCTATAAAATTAATTGTTTTAATTAGTGAAACGAATACAATATATATTTTTTATTATTGTTATCATTAGGAAGTGATACTTACATATAAATACATAAAATGCTATTGCGATTAAATCATTTTTATATTTAATCGGTATAATAGTAATAAGTGAAGTAAAAGCTTCTAATGATGCTTTTAATACAGTATTAATTTGTTGAGAAGTTTGACCTCTAGCATTTCCTAATAAAAATCTCGTATTTAAATCATCTTATCAAAAAAAAAATTAAATAAAAATCCACAAAAGGCATTTATATAAGACTTACCTTGGGGGGGTCTAAATATCCTTAGGGAATTGGGTCTTGCAGAAAGCGAAGGAATTTTTTGAAAAAATATGTTAACAAGTAATCTTAACATGTAAAATAATATGGTTTGTGATTTATCTTCTTCATTATTCATAGTAGAATCGTTCCCCAAATTCCCATTAATTGTTGTACTGCAAGATAAATCAAACCATTAAAATCAATTTTTCTAAATTTTTTTTTTTTTTAAAAAAAAAAAATCTTCCTATGGCATTACCTTCTTTTATGTTCCATAGTTAATAAATCATCACAGATAAAAGTACTCCCATAATCATTAATAATATTAGCGATAGTTTGTATAATATCATGTTGTACTTCAAATCCTTCAGTTAGAACTAACCTATCAAATAAGCTAATTAATTCAATAAATATTATTCTTTCTAAAAATATGTTACCAGCGACAATAGGTCTAAGAAAAGCTTTTAAAGCATTAATACAAGTTTTGACAACTTTATCGTTGTCACTTGTAACATTAGATTTATCTCCACTTGAATTAACACTACCGATCAATCCGCTCGATCTTCTACCACCTCCAAATGTCTTTGATAATGCTTCTACACAAAGTCCAAACAATATAAAAAAATATTTTGCTGTGTTTGCGGTGGAAGTGGTGGTGGTGGTGGTGGTGGTGATAGTAAATTCCGTGAAATCGTCAAATGACGATACGTCATTACCAAAATTTGTAAATTCATCATGCTGTTGTACTTCATCTTTTACATCACTTGTAGTTGATGAAAGGTCTTTTCCATTTAATGCATTAATAATTAATGGATTGCCACTATCCACTAAACTAGCAACGGCTCCTAATATAGTCAACCAAGATCTATTATAATACTAATATTCCATGAAAAAACAATTAATGTCATTAAAATATTTTAAAAGACAATACTCAAAGTACATACCGGAAGAATAACTTCTCTTGTTAATCCACTATACATTGAATCAAATACTTCAGTCTGTGTAGGTGAAAGAAATGACCCGCCAACATTCCCCCCATTTCCTCTGCTACCGATTATATTAATTTGTGCTTCAGCTATGTCAGGTTCAATTTGTACCCTTGCATACTCTTTTAATGCTAATACCCACAATGGACATAACAATGGCAAGTTTCTATAATAAAAAGTTTATATATAATTAAGGTTTAACAATTAAGTAATTTACTTTTATTTTACTTTGTTTTTTTTTTTTTTTTTGAAAGGATACGGTTCTAATACTTGTATTAAATAAGATTGTTTAATGCTAGAAACTTGTAATTCAGCCCACGCATTTAATACGGATAATTTAACCATAATTGCAGCATGAGGGCTTAAATCTTTAATATCACCAACAGCAGTAACGTTAGCATTATCTAATCCAAATCAGACAAAAATAAATCATTAATATAGTCAAAAGAATAACGAAATACAAAAAAAAATAAAATAAATAAATAAATAAAACTGCGATTACCTTTACAATTTTCCAATGCGGTAGTTAATAACTTTAAAATGCGACCCATACGATATAATTCTTTTACGATACCACTACCAACAAATACAGCACATACTTTTACAGCAGCTGACAAAATTTCTGGTGAAGATTCAGCTGTAAACGCTGGAGTAAGCGCCGCTCCTATTTGCGCCTATTACATGAAATCCAAGCACGAGTTAGAACAAAAATGATGACATTACATGAAAAGAAAGGTATGATTCCATTACCTGATATTGTTCCAAAAGAGCAGCTTCTACAAAATCTGGATCAGGTGTTGCAGCAAATTTCTAATAATAATAATAATAAATAATAAATAATAATCATGAATGAAATTTTGAAATTATTTCCTTTTAAACAAGAAACAATTCTCTTAAAGTTAATATACCTCAATCACATCTCTTAATACGGTCAATCCTTCTAATCTCATTTCACCAACAACGGCGGTACTAGCAGTAAACGCCATTTTGATTAATTCTTGTACTCTTAATACTAAATAATCTTTTCCGTTTGCACTCTTCTTCTTTGCAATAGATAGATCAAAATGATCTTTATCGCCAGAATTACTAATAACTTCAACAACTTGATGTAAACATTGTAACGCAAATAATTGAGTACGCCACCTGGGTGGAATTTGAACAGAATCTTGAATTAATTTAGTATTCTTTTCTAATTCCCTATTAGCGTTAGCTCTTTCTCTAAAATCGAAACTCTCGACTTCTTCATCACCATCTTCATCATTTAAATCATTTTCATTGTTAATCCCATCTAAATCATCATTACTAGATAAATCCAAAGAAGGAGGGTCGATGGGAGCGCCAGCACTTGCAACACTACCAGTTTTCGACATTACTTTTCTACATAACTCGACCCAAATGGAAGGATTATCTATCGCCGTTTGATTTAACCAACTTTTTACAATATCTTTAACGCCATCAATGGTTGGATCAGTATCCAATAAACTAAATAATTGGTTATCCAAACCAGGTACGGAAACTTCAAATACATGTTTAGCATTCTTTTGCACCAATTGATACAAACATGTAACAGCAACTTCTTTTAATGGTAAATGTTTACTGCTTAATTGAAATTGCAAGAAGGCTACCAATCTAGGTAAATCAATAAATTGCTGGGCAAACATAATGAAATGCTGTAAACATCTAATTGATTCCACCACCACCATTTCTTCTTCATCATTTCTTAATTCGATCATTAAATTTAAACATAAGTTTCGTATTTTGGTGCTTGATTGTAATTCAGGACCTAACGTACCAATTAATCCATATATAATTTTACCAAATTGTTGATAAGCAGAAAATCCTAATCCAACGTTTGTAGTTCCGACAGTTCCACCACCTGGTTCATGAGTATCTGACATATATAATTTGACAATGATACCAAGAGTGCTGCTGACATATTGCGAAAACATTAATCCGGCAGATTCGATTATTTGTGCTAACGCATACAATGCCCAAAAATGTACAACGGGATGAGGATCACTACTTAATGATAATAATATACCAACCAATGTTTTCAAATGACCACCAGCCGCCATTCCGCCCACGTGACTATAAATACATCCAAGTGCTAATGCGCTACCCGCTCGAGTGTCTGGTTCTCTATTATTAACCACCTGATCTACCAACAATTGCATTTGCGTGGTTACCAAATTACCGCCAACGGTACTCAATAGTCTTCCTAAAGTCTCACTTGCCGCATTCCTTAAATATGGGTCCGGATGCGTGATTGATTCTTGTAACATATCCATTATAATATTTCCGATCCTTTTATCCGCGATACCATTATTACTTCCATTATTAATAATATTATTCTTGTTCATTACATTTTTAAATATCGCTAATAATCCAACTACCATATTAACTTGTACTGCCATTTTTCTTCCTGGACTTTTTTCTAATTTAGGATGCTTTATCGACTTGGTCAATTGATCTAAAATAATTTCTTGTACCTGAGCACTTTGTGTTGGGAATATTAATCCAAATAATTCGATGCTAAAATCTACTAAAGCCGTTGCTGCCGGTGCTGGTTTTGGTATTTTATTATTATTATTGGCATTGTTAATATTATTATTGATATTAATGTTGTTGTCATTGATAATTGATGATGATGATGACCAATAAGTGGTATAAATCATTAATGAGTCATGTTCAGGTGCTCCAATAATTGGTTGTTCTAATTGATTCTCTACTCTGCTTTCTACTAAATCTCTATTTAACCAATCTCTCACGCCTATTTTCCTACTATCACTTTTTTCATCATCATCATCTATTAGATTAGCGATATCTATATTCATTCCCTGCAATCTACTGGTCACTCCATATGCGTATTCGTCTCCTGTTGTCCATACGCTGGTAAAATTTCCTGAAACTGCTGCTACAATGGCTGCTGTAATAGCGCTACCCACATTTTTTTCGGGATCCGCAAATTGCGTCACACTTAATTTCAACAATTGTGTAATTAGATTATCATATACACTAATCGGTCTTAAGGCCACAAAGCATTGAAATGTTCTTCTTTTTAACATATTTTCTCTATCCGAAAATTTTAAAGATGTTGAAAATGGTAATTGTGGTGTTATTGACGTAACGGACGAATTTGGTGTAGGATTATTCGAAAATGAATTTGGTACTAACGAAATAAATGTTAATGTATTACCTAATAATGCTACTAATCTTTTTGATATATCTATAGTAACTAATTTAGAATTATGTAATAGAAAACTTAACATCGCTCCTAAAACACATTCTCTAACATGAAACATAAATGACCATTCGTTTTCAGTTCGATTTGATACCGACTCTTTACTATTAGTTGATTTAGGTAATGCTGTTTTCCATAATATTAACAACTGTGGTAAATGTAATTTAACAAAATTAGGCCCTAGTGTCATTAACGATCCTATTAATATCCACGCTACTTGTATTTGTATACTTGCAATTGCCAAATCTTTGTTTGCGCTTGTTTTAATTAATTGCGTTGATAATGAGAATATTTTTGCACTTAATTCAAATGGTACATTTAATGGTCTGCTTGGTATAACACTTAATAATGCTGCTAACCCATACGCGTAACCAAGTGTTCTCTTTGATAAATCTGTTGTTGATGATGGATTCGCTAAATTATTTAGATCTTTATTAAGTAATCCGTGTACTTTTGTAATCAATCCTGATAATTTGATTGGTAATGAATAACATAAACATCTAAGACACCATGCTGTTACTATTTGTACCGAATAACTCGTATGACTTAATAATATAACTAACGGATCTGCTACTACATCGTATACTGTACTTGCTGCTCCTCCTAAATCCAATAATAATCCGGATATTTCATTGACTGCACATACAAGTGATAATTTTGATGGTTCAACTTGATTTGTCATTAATGCTGGCCACTGTTTTAACCATCCGTTAGCCAATTCACGGACTGCAGTAACTTGCCCTTGTTCACTTAATAATCTAGTTCCAATAACATCACGCAATAATAACTCACAATGTTCTCGAACGTTAAGTGCTTCATAACGTGATGATGAATTTCTTGGATGTGATACAAGATCTTTTAATAAATGTTGTGCGATAAATGAATAATTTAATTCAACATATTTTGTACCTAATTGTAGAAATAATGCCGAATATGATTCTATTATTGCTGCTCTCATTTCTCTTGTGGTTGATTGTTTGTTATAAATTGTTGATAAATGTGTTAGCATTTCTTCTACTGATAATATCACTTTGGCCGATGATGAAGAATCCTGCTGTGAGCTTAATGTTGGACTTCCACCACCTGATGTTAGTGATGATGCATTATGTGTCGTGGTGGATGATTTATTCTTTGATGATGATGAAATTGTTGTTGCCAAAAAGTCAACTTCATTTTGCGTTCCTGCTAATAATGTTGCAATATAAGAAGAAACTGATCGACGAATTGTTTGATTAGATCCATCAAGTAATTTAACCATTTGATTAAGTAAATTATCTAATTCACTAGCTGAAATTGGATATTGTTGATGTGTATACTTTGCCACTGCATGCATGCACTTTTTATTAAAAAAAGGTTTGGCCATTAGTAAAAAAAAAGATTTAAAATAAAAGTCAATATTGATTTTTACCTGTACTGAGGCAACCTTAATGATTAATGCCTTATCGCCTAACCCGGATTTCATTTGCTTCATGATATCTTTTATTATAGATTCTGTTGCACCTTTACCTGCTCCTTCAAGAGATTTACTTATCGTATAAATAGCTTCTAATCTAACGATCAATGCCTATAATATTCAGATAAAAAAAAATTTTTAAAACAAATTTTTAACATTTAAACAAATATTATGTGCTTACATTAGACGAATTCTTGATCGTTTTCAAACAAATATTAATAGTTTCAGGAAATAGGGATAATATCCTATCACCTAATGATTTTAAAATTATACCGATACAATGTAATGCAGCTCTACAAAAAAAAAAAAATAGATCATTAATCAAAGAAAATATCAGAAATCAAATATTTAATTTTACTCACAATTTAGTTTCTTTTTCTCCTACATTTTTACCTGCACCAACTAAACTCTGAAGTGCTGTAATAGTATCAAATAAAGTTCTAGATTCTCCTTTAATATATATAATAACAAAAATTCTTGCTACGAGTTGTCTAATAGGTCTATGTGGTTTTGGCGCTACTGACGATATAAATTTTAATAATTGTTTCTCGAGATTTGTTTGGCATTGTTTTAGTGAATCCTTAAAATTATTATACCAGGAAGCGAAATAAATAAATAAATAAATAAAGTTATTTAAATGAGGAATAATTTATTTACCTTATCAGTTTTTTTGAGTTCTCTTTCTAAATTAGCTAACCAATTAAAAACATATAATTCTTGTTTTTCAGGATTTGCTGCATTAGATGCAATTTTTTGTTCATCAAATTGAAAAGGTTCATTAAATGATGTAGGATTTGGAGAATCTCTTCCTGTTGAAACTGATGATATTCTTGGCGAGGCCATATTTTTCATTAAATTAAATAAAAGATTTATTAAAAAAAGGCAGATGTAAAAAAAAATCTTTTTTTTTTGTAAATTTTATAATTGTACGACTTTAACCGTGAATATATTAAGTAATTTTCCGGAAATGATCGACAAAGATGTGCCACAGACAAATTTTTTCTTTTCGAAATTATAAACTTTTTAAAATATTATATAGCCAAATGAGGTTTTAGTAATAAAATTTGCATTTTTTTTTTTGCAAAATGCGTCACATATATTAAACAGTGTAACCTGTCACACACATTTCACACATTTCGGACAGGGACAATGTTTTGTTGTGGTGTAATTCAATTTTGTAATCTAATTTTTATCGATTTGTGATTTTGTGGCATTATAATTTTATATTATAATTTTAATACAATTAATTAAAAAAAAAAAAAAATAAATTTTAAACATTTAATTTTTAAGTGATTCTTTTGATAAGTTTTAACAATCATTATTTAGGAAAGTATTGTATAAAAAAAACTACGCTCAATAGCACAATTCGATATAGTAGCCAAATATAATTCCAATGCTATTTGAGAAAGAATCAATAAACATCCAAATTTATTTTTCTTTTATATTTTTATCAAATTCCAATTCACAATAAATATCCCATTCATGTAACAAATCATCAGAAGGATTATTTTCTTTAATAATTGAATATTGATAAATGCTATATCATTGAATATTATTTCCTAAATACATGTATTTAGAATCAAAAATACAAGTTGCACAAAATAAGGAACAAGTTGGATGATTTGAAATATGTAATTCAAATTTTTTTGAATGCTACCTGAAATGCTATTTGAAAAATAAAATAAAATGCTGATAGATTAATCAATTTGACATTTATATAAATTATTAATAAAATAATAACATTTGTTAAAATACAATTTAATTTGTAATTTATCAATTCACATCAAAGTATACAGGTATTTATAGTTTGCATTAGTATTATAAGTTAAAATAACAATAATATGATTTTTGATTTTTTAGTATTAAAAATATAGTAGTTTAAAGTATTTTTGATGGTTCTAAATTTCAAATAAAGCTAATGTATATAATATTACTAGGTAACAGGGATCATTTGCAGTCCAGAGTGTTAAAAATACAACCTATTTTAAATTTACGTGATAAAGTAATTCATAATAAATCATCAGTAAACAAATGCATGTCAATAAACATTGACTTAAACAAAGAGCAGAGGATAGACAAACATCTTGTATTACTATATCTAGACTGTAAATAGTCTTACAATACACTCTGAACTAAAAATATTTTCAATTAATAAATTTGTTAAATATATTAAAAATTTTCAATTTATATTTACCTGTTTCATTAACATTATAAATATCACAGAAGGATTCTGAACAATACTAATATAACTTACAAATAATCAGTTTATATTTACTAATAACTCTAAAAAACTTTTTTTATATAGTAATGCTATACAAACTTATATCTTAATTAAAAAATAACTTTGAATACACAAATTTAAAATTTTATAATATAAAATTAAATTTAAATAATTAAAATTAATTAATTAAATTTATTAAAATATTTAAAATTTATTTTGTAATAATAATAAAAAAAATAGAGCATAGTTTAAAAAATTAGAATAAAGATTTAAAAAAAAAAAAATAAAGTGAAGTTTAAAAAATTAAAATAGAAATTAAAAAAATAAAAAATAAAAATATGAATTCAAAAAATTAGAATAAAAATTAAAAAAATAAAAAAAATAGAGCAGAGTTTAAAAATTAAAGTAAAATTAAAAAAATTAAACAAAAGTTTAAAAATTAGAAAGAAGGTTAAAAAATAAAAATATAAATTTAAAAAAATTAGAATAGAAGTTAAAAAATAAAAAAATGAAGCAGAGTTCTAAAAATTAAAATAGAAATAATAAATAGATAGAGTTTCATTTTTAATTTTTTAACTTTTATTTTAAATTTTTAAACTCTATTTCATTTTTTTATTTTTCAACTTTCATTCTAATTTTTTGAATTTTACACTTTATTTTTTATTTTTTCAACTTTTATTCTAATTTTTTAAATTTTGCTTCATTTTTTTATTTTTTAATCTTTATTCAAATTTTTTGAATTTTAAATTTTTATTTTTTTATTTTTTTAACTTCTATTTTAAATTATACTCCATTATTTTATTTTTTTAATCTCTGTACTGATTTAATATTTATTATTTTATAATTATATAATAGAATATATTGATAATAATGATTCAAAAGATAATAATAATTACAAGAAAATCATTTATATCTTATATATCTTCTATGTCATTTATACTATTTATTTTTTCTATTCAATATATTATTGCTATTTATTTTATTTTATTTATATCATTTATTTATTATATTTTTTTTATTATTTTGATAATTCTATATGTTTAAATTTATATAAATATAGGAAGAATTCTTTTAGATTAGTAGTATGTCTAAATCATATTTTTTTTTAGATAGTTTATTATAATTCTCTTAAAAATATTTATATAATATAAAGTACTATCATTATGAAATTCTTCAATTTAAGTTGATCATATCCTTAAATTTTTATTTAAAGTCATTATTTATAATCTATCTAACTTTTAACTTTAATAAATCTGTCAAATATGAAGACTTGAAAGATAATAATATGAACAAATTTAATTAAATAATGAACTTAATTATAAATAATATATAAGAATCATGTTAGATTATATAAAAATATGAAAAGGCAGAAAGATATAAGTTTTAATTGATTCTTTTATTAATATTGAAACTTATATTTACAAAAAAATTAATTTACAATATAAGCAAAAAGTTTATCTATTTATACAAAATTTCTTTTATTATGATTATTTATTTATTATGCTATAAACTCACTAATTTGAGAAATAAAATATAAGTAAACTAAATATACTAAAAATAATAAAAAATATATAATATAATAAAAATAATAATAAAAAATAAATATTAAGAATAAGTATAACATCAAATATTTTTAGACTTCATTTAATTTATAAAATTAGAATTATTATCAGTATTTAAAAGAATAATAAAATTATATAGATTTTTTGCATTTTCAGAATTTGCAGAATTCTTAGTATTTTCAAAATTCTAGATTAAAAGATTGCATACTGCATCATTTACATAACTTTATTATTATTAGTTAATTACTTTGTTGACAGTACTGATTGAGATAGTATTTATTTATTACTATTATTATAAACTATTACTGATCAATACTCTTTAAATCAAATTATAAAATTATCCTTCTGCTTACTATTGAAATTATCATATTACTTATCATTTATAAATATCTTAAAATTAAAATAATGCTACAATTAGTTATAACTTTATAATACTTATTTATTAATAGTTATAACTAATTACAACTTAATTTTATTAATGTTACAACTAGTTACAATCCTATGATACTTATTTATTATTAGTTGTAACTAATTGCAATAGTATTTTTATCTTAAAGGACTAACTGTAATATTATTAATAAAAAATAATCAACTTTATATAGTCAACTCTTATTATAACAAACTCTATGTTCTAGATTTCAACTTCGCTATAAAGCTATAGTGAAGATTTGATTGGCCAATTCACTATAATAAGAGTATTTTTATTATATTTGTTCAAAAAATTCGTTATATCAAGAGTTTACTATATCAAGAATTGATTGTATATCTCTAGTTCTTAATTTCTATTTAGTTAATTCTATATAATACAATTTATAAGTAATTTAAAATTAAAAAAATTTATGCAAATTCTATTTATTTATTTAAAAAATATTTACATATAAATTTTACGTAAGTTTTTTATAAGATATATCAATATTATTTAAAGTTTTATCATAAAAATTATATTTTTTAATAACTTCTTATAAAATTTTATGTTTTTCTTTTAATATTTTAAAGATATATTATTTTTCTTATCAGCTTTATTAATTTATTTTACATTATACTATTTTTAAATTTTATTAGCTATCTATATAAATAATAAAAAATATTATTTGTAATCTAATTGCAAAGTTCAAAGCTTTAGCTTTTAATATATTTCTTATAATAGTTAAATTTAAGTTAATACTTATTGTATTTATATATATTTTATAAATTTATAGTTTTAATAGGATTCTAAAAATCTCTTATATAACTTAAATTAAAATTTGTGTAGAGTTTATATATAAGCTAATTAGTAATTAGATTTAGACAATTTTGCTATTATTAGAATCATCTCAATAAAAAGAATCTATTAATAGTAAATTATATTTTTAGTCTTTATATTAACTAAATAATTGTAATGAATAAATTTTACTATATGTTACTTATGAGTTAAATAAGAAATATTTAGGATCTTATTTTAATATGTTAAATTTTTTTTAGCAAGATTTTCTTGAATATATAATAGATTATCTTTACTTTTTTATTAAGTAATATTTTAAAAATAATAAAAATAAAATGTGTTACAAATATATTAGTATTTAAATAAAGTAAATAATTTACTAATAAAATTAATTTATATTGTTATACGAGTCAATTGCAAAGTCTACTGACTAAAAAGTAAACTTCAATGCGTATAGCAACGTTTTAGGTATCTGAAGGATAATAATTTATATTAACAATCCTAAAGTCTTATTAGCGTCAATAAAATTATTAAAGTAAATCACTACAATCAATATATTTATTTATATGGGAGAACAATAATAATAGATTGGGTTTTATAATACGAGTTTAACTAATTAAAGTTATAAGGTAAAAGGTTGGTTTATTAATTAAAGAAATTAGGATTAATACTATTCAATAATTTAAATAAACTCTTGTTCGCAAACTTACAAAATTAAAGAATAAACAATAAACTAAATTATATCAAAACTGTATTAGAATAACTATTTAATAATCAATATCAAGACTATCTAGCTTGATTTTATTAACTGAGTAATTATCTTACTTGTAATTCACTCAAGGCTAACTGATTATTAACT